ACCTCTAAGTCTAATATTGGAAGGCTACAATTCAGGTCCGGCTCCAGGTGAAGAGAGTGAGGAAGGCATCTCTACGGAGAGTCTCAGTCATCCAGGTCAGGGTTGTCCCAAAGGTGCTGGTTTTTTTCAAGAGGCAACCGGACTTCCTTGTTCCCCACCCCCTCTTTTGAAGACGTTTCGCTTCTCATCCAAGAAGCTTCTTCAACTTTGACTGGATGGTGGGGAATGGAAGGATTGATACTCCTTGGAGACAGCGGGTCATTTGCATCCTTTTGAGAGAGTCGTTGAGGCCGCTTGGAGGTTTATCTGTGTCCTGAGGGCCACCTGAGTAGTGCGAATGGTCCCTGTAGTCCGCAATTTTTTTTCTGGACATCCGTTCATCCTCCCACACCCTTCGAAGGGGATTCATCCCAAAGGGCCGGGCTAAAAGTCTATGGAGCTTCTCAGTCCTCCAGGTCATGGTTGTCCCAAAGGATGGAAAGGACCAGCTGTCTGCAAGGAGTACCAATCCTTCCAAGTCCCAAAACAAAGAATAGCTTTCTTCAGAGCCAGATTTAACATTCCTCCTTCCGCACTCCTCCAGGGCAGGTATAAGAGAACTCCAATAGCAGATCAGGTCTGCATATGTGCTAAAGGAGAAGTTGAAGATCAGCTCTCCAAACTTTGCACAATTTGCAGTCAAAAGAAAGCGAGGATTGATTTCAACCAATGGAACTTGGCAGCTGTGAGCTCCAAGGAGAAATGGGACAGTTGGAAACCTAAACCATCCATGGAGATTTCATCATAAGTACTTGCAAATCTATCTCCAGAACTTGGAGAGCTAGAATGTTCTTTTTTCTTGGAAAATTAATCTTGTCATACTCAGCCAAATCTAGAGACCCAACCATTGGCGATTCATACCACCGAGTGAAGATACTTGTGTTGATACATATCGATAGGTTGCCCGTCCAGAAGAACCTGGCCCGCTTGAAGAGGGTAGAAGTTCTCTATGATGTTGACGCAGGAACTCTTCCCGCTGCCTGAAGGACCCACCAATGCGGTCACCTTCCCAGGATGGAGAGTGAAGGAGACATCCTACAAGACAAGCAGATCGTCATCATCTCTCATCATCCATGACTTGCTATATTTTGGGGGTTACCTGTCCAAGGCAGGGGTGCGCCAAGAGCTGGAAGCCCCTTGAAAAGACGTTCCTTGGTTCCCACCAAAACTCCACAAAGAACCAATATAATTTAATGAGCTTAATTTAATGAGGTTAAAATATGGAGAAAGTGTAGTTTTAGAACCATGGCAGAAAGTTTAGCGCTTGTTCTTTTCATCAACTCTTCTTTAGATCTGGAATTTTGTGTGCTTGAAAAAAAGCTGGAAGTTTGGACTAATGAAAATCTCCATCTAAAGCGATGGACCTGTTTTTACTTACTTCAATTAAACTATAGCTTAAGGGTAGTTAATTAAACAAAGCACAGCCCCAGAGTGCTTTGTACACGTAACACACTCGGACCCAACGAAAATGTAGAAAGCATGTTGTGCGAATGCAGCCAAAAGCTACTTAAACGATAGCCAATAACATCGGAAATTTGCGTGTGATCCTCAGGAGGACCAAAGAGGTGGCAAGAATTGTAACTTCTGCATACGTTAACATACAAAGTATAGGATTCTGCACCTAATAACGGCAGCAAGACTGTTGGTGGCGCAATACTGGAAGAAGGAAGACCTGCAAACAACCCAAGAATGGACATTGAAAGTCGCAAACTT